GGTCTACCTCCACCCGCGCTACCTGCGCGAGCGCGGCTGGCTCAGCGGGGCGATCTTCCCTACCCGCAGCATTGTGGCTGGATCGTCCCATGGGGTCCCCTTCTCCAAGCTGGCTCTCTACCCCATTCTGGAGAGGGTGCATCAGGAGGCCCCGTCGGCGTCACTGTGGACGTTCATTGACGATACGGTGGGACGGTGCGAAGGCTCTGCGGAAGCTGTATTACCTGCTATGGATGTTGTGGGCACGTCCTTGGCTCGAGGGTTGAAGCAGCATCGTTTGGTTGTCTCCTCCAAGTCTGTGATTCTTGGCTCGTCGGCCTCCCTGGCCAAGAAGTCGGCACAGAGGTTGCGTGCGAGAGGAGTTCCTGTGAGGCCAGTATTGCAGGGCGTCGACCTCGGCGTAGACGTTGCGGCCGCCAGGCGCAGAGTTTGTGCCAAGGCCATCTCGAGGCGAGTCAAGGCGCAGCGACGAGCTGGGCGCATCAAGAGGCTCAGACGTATGGCTGCACTTGGCCGAGAGGCCCGCTGCTTGTGGGCGACTGGTGCGTGCCCGCAGTCTGCCTACGGGCAACAAGTTCATGGTACCTCCCCGTCGGCCCTGCTGGCACTGCGGCGCCAGGCTGCTGCTGCCGTCACTGGTGGCCAAGGTGGGCGCTGCTTGACCAGCACGCTGGCGGCTTCGTTTGGTTTGAAGGACCCTGCGGTGGAGATACGACGGCAGTTGGTTCTGGAATGGCTCAGCTTCTGGCAGGCTCAGCCGCAGCTACATCGGCGACTCAGGCTTGTGTGGCCGTCGATTCGGGGCCGCCTTGCGAAGGCGGAGAGGCGGCGCTGGAGCATTGTCAGAGGCCCGATTTCAGCAGTTATTGCTACATTGATGGATGTGGGGTGGGATCCTAAGACTGCGACGGTCTGGGCCCGCCCGACTAGTGCTGGAGTTGATGAGTGGCACATCCCGTCGAGCGGCGACGAGGCGTTCGAGAACTTCGGCTCCACGACGGAGCTGATCGACGACCTCATCGGTGACATCCGCTCGGCGCTGTGGTTAGAGGCAAGTAAGCATGACAATGGCGAGGGCCTGGCGGGTGGCGGTGACTTCTTCCATATCATGAGGGAGCTCAAGCGCCACCAGGCCCGTGGCCAGCATGACGAACATGGGTTGAATTTGACGGCCGTGGCTGGAGGGCAGTGGACCCGCACTCGGAGGCATCTCTGCGGGTACAAGCTGAAGTCGACCACATGCCCACGGTGCAAGAAGCATCCAGAGACGCTGTTCCACAGGATTTGGTCCTGCGAGTGCAACGGCAACCACGACGACTACGACAAGACGGCCTCGCTGCTGCCTGCGGCGACAGCGCAGCATGAGAGCCAGCCCACTTTCTGGCTCCGTGGTGTGCCCACCGTCTGCATGACCACGCCTCGCTTCGACGAGGCGCTGCTGGCCGAGCTCGAGCTCAGGCTGCCAGGCGCTTTTCATGAATGTGAGGATGGGGGGTGGACG